AGTAAAAGCGTCTGGCGTTAAGCAAGCAAAAAAAATAAGTAGGGCATACTGGGGCGCATTGTGGCTCAATGGATTAAAAGATCTCTGTGATTTTTTTTGTAAGTTACATTTCAAAACTGTGTGCAAAATATGTCAATTTATTTTATTGGAAATTATACAACTCAGTCTGGGTGATTTGTTTTGGCAAGCATGTTCATCTAAAGAGGCTCATGTAAACAGACATTCATCCAGTGAAAGCGGGCTATAACCAGGTTAGTTACCTGGACTGGCTTGCCTTTATAAGCGGCCCCTTGCACATGTTTTAGGCTGAGTGGCTGACTGATAAAGCCACACATTGGGAAAGGCTGTCTACATGCTATTAATGTGAATATATACTAATACTGTCTTGTGTGTGGTACCCTGGGTACCAGAGCCTCTTATGAAGTGAGGACACGACGAGGAGGCTCTGGTCACACGAGCAACCAGCCTCACTTCGGTGTTTACTACAGATATGACGTCAGAGAAAAACCGGTTTTCTAATTTGATGGCGCCTCGCCAAACCGTGATGGGTGTCAGAAAAGCGATCGAGCGTAAACTATATTAATTAAATATGTCTATGGAAAACACCCCAGTAAAAAAAGTTATTAATAAGCAAAATAATAACATAAACCACTTCTGTCGAATTTGTGGTATCAATATACCTATTTCTGGCAGAGGGAAGCTAAACATTTTCGAAGGCGCCAAATCAGTTCGGGATAAACTTGCTGAAAGGTTGTCGTGCATTCTCCAAACTTCTGTGTCGAAGGATGGAACCTCTTCTACGATATGTTTGAACTGTAAGAGGAACCTCGAAAGGTTGGAAAAGGCAACAGCCGATCTTGTTAGATTTAAAGAAACGGCCGAGAGAACTGCTAAAGAGCAAAGAACATTTATAGTAAATGACAAAGAGAACTCTGGTGAACGCTTTAAAACATGCAAGTTTTTAGATTCTCCAAAAAATGAAAAGCCCGTGAAAAGAAAAGCGTGTGAAACAGAAGTTCGACGAAATATTTTACAGCCAACGCCTATGTTTTTAACAGAACTTCCGAGTCACGACGATTTGTTTGTGAATTCCCAACCCGGAGTTTATATGAATCGTTCCAAAACTAAGGTAGAGGTAAGTTTTTAAAAAATACAAATACTATAATTTACCTGTAAAAACTCTCAAAAGAGCTATAGTATAAAAGTAAAGTTGTACATTGTACAATACTTGAACAAATTTTAAATATTGAGCTTTTGTTTATAATGTAGGTGACAATAGACTATCCGTCTACACAGAAGCGCAAAACTATAACTGAAGAGTTAGATGCCAAGATCATAAGAGGTGTTGCTAACAATGAACGTGTTTCCATTGCAAATGCCGTATGGGACTCAAGAGATCTTAAAGACATGATCATGTGTAAAATTGAGAAGGCTGTTGTCAATCAATTTAAAGGACTTTGCAGTAGAAGAAACCCATCCATTCTGGCCAATTCTACACCTCATAATGTAATAAACATTACAGATGCTTGCATCGCTTCTGAACTAAAGAATCGTGCACCTACTATGGAAAGAATTCTTCGCGCTGCCGTCTCAGGCAAAGTTAAACACACCGTTGAAGAAGAATATAATGAGAAGGATAAAAAAAATGTGAGGGCTTTAAGCATGGCAACTTCTATATTATTAAGATGCCGAAACCCTGCACTTTCAGCACTAAGTTACCGGTTGTCCTTATTGTTGTGGCATGGAGGTGCTGAGAAACAGGTACTTTATTTTCTTTATATTTGTATTGCAAACAAACAAGCGAAACATGCGGTTTTCATTTCTTAAACACGAGCAAGTAGAATAGTTTTACGAGGCGACAGTTAGGCAACTTTATTCAGACGGTTCAGTGTTTTCGTCTGGTTTACTCTATCAACGTTTCTGTGATTACAGTAGGAATTTTGCATATGAAATTGTAAGAAACATATGAAGCGACTAGGCAAGTGTTTTAACACTGAATCAGTTATTTATCTATATTATTTACCTATGCAAAATTCCTATTGAGTATTGTTATCACAAAAACTTTAATAGAGTTTAACTAGCCTTTACTGATTTCTGAGACGTTCAAATGGCTTCAACACTGTCCAATTGACCATGCTGAAAGTGTTTGATCAAAGAACTATATTGAATGAATGTTTGAAAGTGTTTAGTTGAAAGTGTTTAGTTTATTAATACCATATTAAGTCCCATATTAAAATGTTGATAAACATGGAGAGGTTTCCCCTATAAGGGGTTTCCCCTATAAGGGGTTCCCCTGGCGGATTTCCTTGCCCTTCCTGGTGATTAATTTTTAAAATTTATACAGCCCTAATGGTAGCCATTAACAGATGCTTAATTGATGTCAGCCATATTAACACAGTACTACTGCTTTATAGCTATTCAAAAGACTGAATAGGTGGGGAATTTCAATGAGTCATTGGAGAACTTTAAAGAAGGTTGATGAATTTGGCTTGAATTTTGATGAGCAAATTAAGACATGGAAACAAAGTCTTGAGCATAGCCACAACCTTGAATCAGCTGTTAGATTCATCCAGAGTATCAATAAAGAAGAGCTTGTTCCAACAAGCCTTGTTGGTCCACCAATTATCACAACTGAATCTGTCAGTGATAGTCAAATAGCTAATCCTTCATTTCAAACTGAGTCACTACATACAAAGTATGGTATTGATGAGAACATATTAAAAGAGAAACTTAAAGCTAAAGGTGCAGTTGAAGGAAGTTTCAATGAGGCTATCATTGATGAAGTCATGGATAAACTTAGGAACTTGTGTAATTTACATGCTTCATACGAAGAAAACCTAAAATATACTCAGATGAATATTGAATTGTCTCATGCCCCTGGGTATCAACTGACTGGAGACAATGTGGACTTGTATGTTAAGGTGAAGCACATGTCAAGCACAAATCAGAATTCCAGTATACATTGGTTTAACATAAATGCTGTCCTCAACAGAGTGAATAATAATCAGCTGAACAATAACAAACCAATCATGTCCGTTCTTGAAATGGAGAACTCACAGTTTCTTCCATCTGCTCAAGATAACGTTAACATCCTTCAGGATTTTATTCCTCTTGTAAGTCGTGTTCTGGTAACCAATATTTCTGCATTGCAACAATTTAAGAAATCAGTTGTTTGGCATATACCACACAAGTATACCAACGAGATGAATCAGAAATCTACCCAGGTGTGATATATAGTATATGTATATTATATTTTTTTCAGTGATATATAGACACCCCAGGTAGATAAATTGATAGGAGTAAATTTGTCACGGCAGTTGATTGAAAAAGGATCTTTTAACATTTGTTGCAGAAACACTGGGAGCCTGCCAGATTTTTTAGTTTTGTTGCTCATCCCTGCGCAAGTCCAAATACTTTTGGTTAACACATTAGACTGGCGGCTTAAAGTGTAGATAATATTTAAATTAAGTAAGCAAAGAGATGTGTAATTGATCTCAAACTTTTGTCAATTTGACTTATCAATTTAAAAGCTATTGAGTAGGTAAATAGGGCTATACTCCAGGGTGTGATAATTCACAATTTTTAGTCGTACCTCACTGGTACGCCAATGATTATCAGGGCATTTTTTAACTATATAACTGGGGGGGGGGGCAAAGCCCCCAGCCCCCATGGTGACCCCCCCCACTCAACTATTTTGCCCCCCCCCAAATCAAAGTCCCTTTTCTCTAAAATATAAGCAAAACATGGAATTTAGAAGGGAGGTTTGATATTCTAGTAACTGAAATTTGCTTTGTGAATCTAATTATGTCCTGTCTTTTACTTTAATGCTAAACATTGTGTTGTAAATACCTTGTTAGATTTTAAACATTTTCCAGTGGATTGCATTTCCCAGACCATATAGATTTGAGTTGTTGGAAGGCTCGGCTAAACAAGTTAGTGACCGCAGGGGCAACAGGCCCCCAACCCAGTGTTTTATAAGAGGGAGAATAATTTTGGTCCCCCACCATAAAAAAACCAATTGATTTCGAAACTAGAGGTATTTGAAATCGTATATATATATATATATATAATCAAATATCTGTAATCGATATTAATTGGTAACAACATTTAATTCTCGTAATAATCCATCCTGATTCGTGGATAGCATAGACTCATAAATCATATAATGAACAAATTAATGAAAAGGCCTAACAAAAGAGGTATAGAGAAGACTTTGAAAATGCCATTTCCGACAATTTAGAGACGCAAAATTTTCAATATTTTTCCACCCTGAGCCAACCATGGTGGCGCTAATCGTGGGAGGCGGGCCCTGCAAGTTTATCAAGCTGGCTCCCCGTGACGGCCAAGTTGTGGTATCTACATAAACATACTATGCAAGTACTTAACTGAATGTTCAGTCTATATACAGCATAATGTAATAAGTTGTGGTATCTACATAAACATACTATGCAAGTACTTAACTGAAGGTTCAGTCTATCTACAGCTTAATATAATGCCGTATGCCCTGTATATCCAAAAATCTGTTTCAGAAAATGCAGGGAATTGCAGTCATAGGGGTAGAAAATACAAAATTTTTCTGGGGGACAATACCCCCAGACTCCCCCTTCTATTAAATGCGATACCTCACCAAACTTTTTGTTACCAACAAACCATCTATTATTTCTCCACACTCGGTATAGTATGGTCCCTTTTTGTAGATGCCCCCCCCCCCACTGACGAATTCTTAAAAAATGCCCTGATGATTATTGCTGCTTACTAATGAGCTGCATGCATGATTAAAACTCAAGATGTTAGTTAGTCTTTAAAATGAAGTACACAAAGTACAGGTTTCTGAAATGTATTCATTCCGCAACCTGAAAAATTATAACAAGTAGTGCAATTCCATATATACAAATACTACAATCGACTCGATCTAACATTGCTTAGTCCAGTCATGTTTCATGCCAAGACATGTCAGTCATGTACTGACTTTATTACGGTTTTGAATACATTGGGTTTGGAAAATCGAATGGCACCAACAAAAAGTAAGTACGCAGATAGCAAGAGTTCTACATACCTACATGGTACTTGGCTAACAAATATGTACCAGACCGTAATGTTGGCGTACCTCCGGTACGTAAGTACGTGAATTATCACACCCTGGTTACTCAGGTTACTGCATCAGTTGCAGCTATGAACTTGGCATTTACATATAATATTGCCAAGATTTGCATTAGTAATCTTCTGTTCATTAATGTCATGTTGTAGGTACCTGTTGGACTATTATTTAAGAATGAGAACATAAACGAAGAAATGATAGACATTCTTCAAACAATTCACAACAAATATCTACCTGTAAGCAATGTCATTCAAAATAAAGAAGAAAGAACCATAATTGTTAATGAGATGCTGTTCTTTGGTGGAGATCAGCTGACTGATGAAAGGGGTCGAAATTGCATAGATGCAATGTCTGATGGTGATACAAAGTTTGAACGACTGGAAGGTTTTCTATCAAAGGTGGAAGATTGGCATGCCATACGAATTCTTTACCAGGTATATATAAGAGACCATTCATTATTTGACTGGGGTGGGCTGGAAAAATTCAATTAACAACTAAAACAAAATGTCCTGCCCCTCTTCATCACAAAACATTAAATGACCCCATTCACATTAATTGTAAAAAATCTTTCCTGACGAGTAAAATTGTTACTTAATTATAAACACAATGATAATAACACAAGTTGTTGCTCTTTTCACAAAATGTTATATGCTGTAATTATATAGTCACCCAGCTGGTATTACATGGGCAAATTTAATTAATATATACAATATTATTGCTTCTCTGTTTAGATTCTATACGACATATTCTTCAATACAAATTCAGGAAATGATGTGGGTACAACATGCTCAAACCTTAATGTCATTAACAACTCAAATGCAAAGACTAAAAATGTCCTTGATAATTTCAACCACTGCAAGGAATACATAAACCTGGAGACCAACGCATTCATTCTAGCTGCAGCAATGACACACTTTAGCATAGACTCCCTGGAAACACCAGCAGAATGTTTCATTCCTCCCAACATTTTAAATGGAACTGAAAAAATGAAACGAATATGGTTGCACAAGCAAATTGAAGAAATGCTTTTAAGGTTGGTACTTTGCTTTATAAATGATTGATCCAATTGTGAATTAGATAAATTATATGCATAAATGACGTCACAAGGTGTTATGCGTGTAGGGAATGTTGGCCTAAAAGTAGTCATTAACCTATTGAGTGGCAGCACTCTCCACTTGACGAGTAAAATCATCTGGCATTATACAGAGTAAAATACTAAAGTAGGGCGCATCATTGCCATTTAAAGGGTTAAATCAAGTAAATTTTCCATCTGTGATTACCATATGGCTTTTAGTACCAGAATACTCTGCACACATCACAGCTTTATTATGCATTAGGCATATTACCTAACCTGTTAACATTAAGGCACACAAGATATTACATGTGAGATTCATTATTCTTTGCAGTTCACTTTTGTCAACATTTGTTTACTGGACTATTTTTAAGATTTGTAATGGCTGATCAACAACAACAACTCAAAGATATGAGAAACACAGTAGCTGCATATTCCAAAAAGAAGCAACATGTTGACACATTCTCGTGCAGTGTATGTGGAAGAGTGTATAAGTATTTGAAAGCCAAAGACAACCACGTAAAGAGAGAACATCCAAATTTCCAACCACCAGAAGAAGCATTAGAAAAGGACATGCATTCTGATCTAAAAGAGCCAGTTTCCGTAAGTGATGATCGATACAACTATGCTACGCTACGTCTCAGTATGGGATTGTTTTTGAGAAACTTCGATGACTCAGTTAAAGAGGGCGATGGTGAGCGTACAATAAGATGTTGGAAATTTGCCATGTTGCTATTCAGGTTACATGGTCACAACAAATATGCGCTTGCTGCATTGCAGTTGCAGGCATGGTTAGAAGCTATGCTAACTCCCAAACTTTCCCATAGTTTAATGTGGAATCGTTATGTTAATAACAAAGGAGGCCCAGGCAAAAACATTGCCTTAGACTTGAGGCTAGAACACCTTAACAACTTGTTAAAGGGACTTCTAAAACACCTGGGGCCAAACCTAACAGAAAGTGCAGCACAAAGGTGCAGTCAATCTATACATAATGTGGAAAAGTTGCTGGAATCAGTTGATTCAGATTTAAATGTTAAGAGGTCGTCATGTCATCACAAGGTGAAAAAATCACATGATGATTTGGTATCGATAGTTAAAGAGCTAACAAGCAAAGGAAATGTTTTCACCAAATCTTCAACTATCACGAGAAGTTATGATGTTATGACTAATTTCAAAGACAGTCTTCTTAAGGGCCTGGATTATGGCTCCTTAAGTCAATGGATAACAAGACACAAGAAGGAATGGAACAAGTTAGAGCCCCTGATATAGTAGTATTGATAATTGTTGTTTTCAATTGGTGAACTTGTGCGAGTTGTTACATTGGGCACTTAGCATTAACCCATTAGAGCACAAGACTCTCCCTGTGACAAGTGAAATCGTTTTGTTTTAGCAAGCCTGGAAATAAGCATCCAGCCATGCGGTCATTGACTGGTACAAATACGTGATTTCTAGTGTTTTTGACAGGCACAACTTTGATTTTGTCTGTCAGTGTGTCACTTTGTCCAGTTTGCATTATTCAGCATTTCAACCCAAAAAAATTCCTTTTCTTAATCACTCAAAATGTCCATCTTAAAGACTTAGTATAGATTTTAGCTCGAAAGCCAATTATATCAAAATGACAAATAATCAGGAAACTTATGTGATTATATTAGCAAAAGCTACTCTGCAAAAGCTGCAAATTTCTAAATACCATTGAACATATATATATGTATTAACCACCACATATTTGTATCATATGAAACTTTTGACTGACAGGCATGTTTTTTTTTGTGACAGGCACACATACATTCTTTATTTGGTGCTGTTCATTTTATTTCCAGGCTTGGGTGTTAGACAGAGTAAAAGTACAAAGCAGAGTACATTTGGGCACATTGCATCTCAATTTAATGGGTTAACAAGATGGTCTTATTCAACAGATGCTCAGAATTTTGTTGTACAATGCCCCAATTAAATGGCCTCATTTCCATGTTTACTGCACTGATATCTACTGTATTTTTATCTTGATCTTTAAGCCCAATCACAAGTTTCTTCTTATCCCTACTGTGAACAAAACACACAAAAACAAGGCCATTGGGGGGAAATAATAATAAAATAATAAGTATTTAACAATACAATGCACATACTAACATCAAAGTCAATCAAACTTGGCAACGCCAGACACATTTGACACATCAGAGCATAATGACTCAACAGATGAACCAGACTCAGAACTAGTTCCATTACTGCCATTAGTGCCATATCCATATTCTCCACCATATTCAAAATCAAAGTCAAGGTCCAATTCTTGTAAATCATCCAAGTCACTGGAGTCACATTCACTAAACTCAAAATCTTCAAATACATCCCTTACCATATGTAAAATACAAACTGCATGTGATCTCTTATAAACTGAACATAGGTTCACAACATCTTCTATCGAAAATAGAAATTTACAATGTTTAAGCACAGATTTGACTAAGGAATCTGAAAAGCCAGTCGATGATTCGGATGATAGCAGATAAACTGGGCAGTTATCAGTTAGCTGTTTTTTATAGTCAATAAGCAATTCAAGCAACTCATTCTTTTCCTGCTTTGTAACAGTTCTCTTTTTATTCCTAACTATGTCTGCTTGATTTGCTATCCCAAACGTTGGCAAAGGTACTCCACAAGATGATCCGGAACAAAGGCAAATTGTATGACAAATAATACAACAATCATGGGTACCTGACTTCAACAGAGTGCTAGTTTCATCAAATTCCTTCAAAATTATTTCCCTTAAACATTTGTCACTAGTTTGTGCATACTCTTTAATGTTTAAATCACACTTCTTAAGGTGATTGCCTTTGTAAAAAAGAATGGAACGTGCAGCTTGTCCATTACGACCAGCTCTGCCTATCTCCTGAAGGAAGTCGTCTGCTTGTCGTGGTGGCCCGTAATGAATTACTTGAAATATATCCTTAATATTAACTCCCATTCCAAGAGCTGTTGAAGCAAACACGACCCGGCAAGTCCCATCTGGATCAAACAATGAATCAGACACCCTGTTTTTATTTTTAGTCAGAGTATTAGCATGGAACATTCCTATAACCATGTTCTTTGATACTTTCTCAGCTCCTTCTGGAAAATATAGATCTTCTTTAAGATTTGACTTGAAGTGTCTAAAAATCTTCCCACATTCTTTTTGAGACTTACAGTAGACTATTGTCTTTGGAGTAGTGTTTTTCTTTAGTTTGATATTGTCAATTGACCAATCAAAGCATTCCAGACTATCATTTACTTTGGCTTTATAAAGATAAATATTTGGTCTATTTGGAGTGACTGAAATTAAGTGGGTATCTGGTTTCAATGAAAGACCTTCCATTGTTTCTTTCTTTACCTTTGGGGTTGCAGTAGCAGTTAAAGCTAATACTGGCGTTCCCAAAGGAAGTAATGACCTAACTTCTCCAAGTCTGAAAAAGCACTGTCTAAAGGCAGCTTTACGTTCTTTGGCATTTCCTTTGCCCCTAAAAATAAAGTCTTAAAGGTTTAATATGTGGTGAAGTATAGCACCAAACGTAATCTGGACAGATTTAATGGGCTATTAATACATTTAATTAATACCCCCCCCCCTATCAAGGACCTCAACTTCTGAGGGGGGTAAATTACTAAAATTAGTAATTTATTCCAGAGGGGTAATATTTGGGGAAAATGGGACAAAAATAATGTTTCCAGAGGAGTTAAAATGCACTTCCAGAGGGGGTTCAAATCTCTTCTAGAGGGATCAATTACACAGAGTTTTTTTCATTCCATAGGGGTAAAAATCCCCAAAAGCAGAGGTCCTTGAGGGGGGGGTGTTGGTTTTTAACCCATTACTCTACAGAGCTTCCCCACAGACAAATAAAATTGTCTGGCGTTCGACAAGCAAAAGAAATAAGTAGGGCGCATTGTGGCTCAATGGGTTAAATTCAATGTCGATTATCGACATGTCCGAGGTACATTTCATCACTAATCGACTGCAATGCCATGATATCAGTTTGTAATATCATAGCTATCGAGACAATAAAACGGTTTCATTCGATTGAATAAGTCGAAATGAAAAGGCGCGTTTGGTTCTTCATACTAAGATGACTATTGGGATATTAAATATTTAATTGACATCAAAATAAGAGGTTATGCATAAAGATGAGGGACGAATCATTCCTCGCGAAACAAAGGATTTCGAGGTAGCTATGATATTATTTAAATCATTTTAAGTACGCGAATTTACGTTAGAAATTACAAATAGACAGTTAAAACAGTAAATCTGCTGAATATTCTTTGGTATAAAACTTGATTAGTCGAGTATTAAATAGGGACAATACATGTATCAAATATTATGTATAAATACGACAGGTACATGTCGAAATCGAAAGCTACCGTATATAAAATACAACACAAATACAATACAATAAAAGCGTACCATTTTGGAACAACGTGCGCTTCGTCTGTAACAAGTCCAAATATATTTTCTTGGAATAAGGGTTCCTGAAGCATGTTTCTCCACTTGGTGTTGTCAACTATGGCTTCAGGACTAGCCAAAACAATAGAGAATTTTCCAGCGATCAGATCATCAATATTGACGCTTCCGTCGGATAGCGAACAAGCAGACACTCCACAGGCTGATAATTCTTTTAAATGGGATTCGATCAACGCATTAAGCGGACAAATTACTATCAATATTGGATTTGACGGATATGGAAAACCTGTCTTGTTTAGATATCTGCAAATGCCGGGGATAAGCTGAAATATTAGCGACTTCCCGTATCCTGTCGGAAGTACCCCAAACACATCTCGTCTCCTTACGAAGCTGATGATGGCATCTTCTTGAACTGCTTTCAGTTCCTTAATGTTTGGAAAAGACTCGAGAGAAAAACTAATTGATTTTCGAATCGCCTGAGAGAAGTCAACATCCATAACTATTTATCAATGTAAATTAGAATAAAACATTTGATACATTAAAGAGAAAACCGGTTTTTGTAATAGACAAACCGGATCGTGTCGGTTAACCAATGAAAGGACTCGCATAAATTTAGACCAATCACAAACGGAGTTCAAATATTGAACTCACCGAAGTGAGGCTGGTTGCTCGTGTGACCAGAGCCTCCTCGTCGTGTCCTCACTTCATAAGAGGCTCTGGTACCCAGGGTAGGATTAATCCTGTATCAAACGTTAAATTAAAAATATGTGCAAGAGGTTTGCAGATTTCTTGTTTTATAGTTTTTATCATTTTGGCACTTATATTATCATGTCCTGCACTTTTATTTGTATTTAAGTTATCAATCTCAGTCATGCAATATTTCAAGTTCAGTAACGGGTTCAGCAAACATACTCTCTCTATAGTTTCCTTTGAGATATTTTTCAAATGATACTGTATTATTTTTTCGAATACCTTTTGCCAAATTTGGACCAACATTTACAAAATATTCATTAAATTTGTTAGCAAATACAATTGGGTAAAAAAATTAATATCTGAGATCTTTTGTTGAAACACGTGAGAAAGTTTTTCTTTCTTATTGTTTCTATTCAATAGTTTATTTATAGTTTGCCATGTCATTTTACTATTGTTTTTGTATTTAATAAATTGATTTTCAAAGTAATCTTTTTTACTAATTTTAATTAAATGTTTTAATTTATTTTTGTAATTTTTGTAAATAGTTTTGTTCTTTTCACTAGGGTTTTTTAGACACTTTTTATATAGTCTGTTTTTAATTCCAATAGACTTAGAAATACCTTGAGTCATCCAAGAGCTTTTATCGTAATTAATTATATTTCGTTTTTGCCGTTTTACTAAAGGAAAGCTTTTATCCAACGCTTGTATTAGTTTATTATGGAAATTCTTGTATGATTCAGAACGGTCATTGTCTTCAACAATAATATCCCATGATATATCTTTCACAGAATTTCAAAATAATAGAAGACTGGCATTATTGACTATTCTTTAATGTTGCGAAGTTTCAACTTTAGAACTGTACATTTTCGTTGGGAAAGATGCAATATGAAAAACGGGAAGATGATCCGAAATATCACTAAAAACTAATCCATTCTTACTGGATTCAATTTGTTATAGGTCATTAGTGAATATATTGTCAATTAATGTAGCGGTATGTTCTGTTATCCTAGTTGGTCTTGTAATAAGAGGCAAAAATGATGACGTAAAAAGTTACTCACTGAATCTATTCGAAAAGTCACAACTTTCAGTTTTTAAGAGGTCAATGTTAAAATCGCCCATTAAGTAAGTTATTTTTTTTTACTTGTCAATTTTAGTAAGAATTTTGCTTAAATTCATTTCAAACATTTCAAACTTTCCTTTTGGTGGTCGATAAATCGTTCCAACAACAATATTTTTGCTAACTGTTGTAATTATTTCAACGAAGAGCGATTCAATTATTCCCTCTTCGTTGAAATTAAGGTCAGGACGAAGTTTGAAATTTAAATCATCAGAAATAAACATTCCAACTCCTCCGCCTATTTTATTGTTTCTGTTTGAGCTAATGAAGCTAAAATTTTCTAACTTGAAATCTGTATAGTTTTCATCATCAAGCCATGTTTCTGTTAAACTAATTATCGAAAATGAGTATTTAGGTGATTCCAACAAAAATTTAAAAGAGTTGAATTTGTTTACTATACTTCTTATGTTTAAATTCAAAATAGAAAATAGGTTATTATTACTATTTGGTATGTCACGCGAAACATCATTTGGAAGGTAGTATTTGCAAGTAATATTATCAATGTTAGGAAGCATGTTGTTGTTGTAATCAACATTATCGGTAGTTGTGTGTGAGTTATCAAAAGGGTTAAATTTAAGTTGCATTAATCTATCCATATCCTCATCACTGCAAGTCGAGAAAAATCTCCAAAAGTAAAGTTAAAGTTTATATCATCTATTGAGCTAAAAGGTAGCGAGTCGCTTAAGCACAAGTGGCATATTTCGATTTCCGTTTGTTGACATGTGAGAGGCGATTTAATGCAAATATTCTTAGCATGAAACCACCTCCCACACAGCATACAAACAATGCCGCGTTTATCAATGGCTATTTCACAAAAACATGCAGAGCATTTTTTTTTTATGTTTATAGAAGCCATTTAGTTTTTTAATCAATTAGATAATAAAATGCGTACTAAATATAATTCAGCGATAATACCTTTAATTATTATGGGGAATAAACTCCACATTGTTAATATAAAGTTTATCACGAAGCAAACGCACTCTTCGCTTTGCCGCCCTTGCTCTCCTCATCTCAGGGTAGAGGGTCTGACGCACTTTCTCAATCTCTTCGGGAAACTATTCGGAGATACCGATCTTTGTTCCCCTTAATTTTTTTGCATTGAAGCGAATTTCCTCCCGATCGGGGAAAAAATAAAATTTTGCAACGATGGCTCTCGGTTTTCTGCGGCCATCATATTTCCTACCAACTCTGTGCGCTCGATCGATGTTGATGCTTCTTCTTGCTTCGGGAATATCAAGTTTTTCCTCCAACAAGCTATAGATCACTTCAGTGCAATCTTCCTCTTCTGATTCATCAATATTATGGAACAACAGGTTGTCGCGCATTGATCTCGCTTTGAGGTCGACCACACTGTCTTGTAAACGCCGGTTTGAATCTTCCAGTTCCTTGATCCACGAGAAGTTTTCTCGCTCTGTCTCCTTTCTTTTCACCATTTCCTCCTTCAAATCCCTAAATTCTGCATGCGCAAACTCGATTGATTCTGTTAGGCTTTTTACATTTTGCTCCAACAGATAATATACGCTCATTAATCAAATCGAGCGTCTCTAATTTCACTAGCACAGTCTGCATCAATTTGTAAAGCTCGTCAATCTTGCTCATTTCGTCTACACTTTCTATTTTTGTTTCCTTCATCGCCTTAGGTGTCACATTACCGGTCTTTTTAGCTTCCTTTTGGACAGATTTTGCAAGTTCTTGCGCACTGCCTCTCGAAGGTTGTTGTCTTTTCGACATGATATATGATATATGAATATGCCGTATTATTAATGAATCTATTTTGCAAGGAGTCTATCCTTCCTTGTGGAAGTTTGCAAATGTTCAACCTCGTTCACAGGGCTTCAGTGTGAGGACCTATCCTTCCTTGTGGAAGTTTGCAAATGTTCAACCTCGTTCACAGGGCTTCAGGCGAGGCACGAGGAAGCCCTGGTCTGGGCCGGTCAATTTTGCATTCTGATTGGCTAACACCATATTGTCTAAAAATAACTGAACTTGACAGTTGACAATAACAATTCAACATCTGTATTTTTATGATCTTGTGTGTACGAGTATGTTTTGCAAAATAATCTTTCAGAGTAAGACGTTTTCTTTCAGATCAGTGCGTTTTCCCGACTGCATGATTTACTTTCGCCTCGGCCGGTTACAAAACTCAAAAGCCGTGTCGAAGTGAGCTGTGATGTTTCCTGACAAAACAATAAACGTCTACTATTATTTAAGCTGTAGTTTTCCTTGTACAGTATTTATTAGTGCAGATGTCTGATGAAATACTACGCGTATTGCATTGTAGTAATATTTTAATTTACAATATTCTGTACTTACAAATAAAAGCAAGACAAACAATTAAATGAAGCTAAAATTAATTTAGGCCCTGTTTACTTAATAGCTCTACGCCTAGGCCGATGTACAGTCTCTACAAGATTCGCACGCCACCCAGTTTTTCAGTTTCAGAATACTCCGAATACTTGAAAGAGAGATTGTGACAAAGATTGTGAAGGGGATAAAATTTGTAGGCAAGCATTGCTCATGAACGGCAAGTGTTGGTGTCCGACGAAACAAGCGAATCCGTATACTCATGTACAGCGTAAACAGGTTATGCCAGGTTTATATTTGTGTTTATTCATATCGAACTAAGTCAGATCTATAAGAGCATATTTAAACTAAATATTAATTATAGCATTAGCCATATTGTTCAAGACGAGAGAAAGGAAATTTCGTGTGAATCACCACTTGCATGGAGACGCCTAGATGCTGCTTGGATGCAGCTTTGCCTGTAGTTGAAAATCTCCAGAAATATCGGTATATCTTAGAAAACATAGACGGGATCTTCATAGCTGATACGTGCCAAACTTCGCTCTATACATAAATAATATCGATTGAGAAGTCTTTTGGCTATTTATTTGTTTCGAAGACTTGTATATTTCATTAAAGAATATCTCGCCACTCCTTGACGAGTAGCTGTCAAAAACTGCCATTTTTTGTCGTCACGTGACCGGCCCAGACCGGTGCTTCCTCGTGTCTCGTCCTCACACTGAAGCCCTGGGAACGAGGTTGGCAAATGTTATTCCAATGTTTAAAAAGGATGATCGTCAGAGTAAAGTAAATTATCGCCCTGTTTCGTTGCTAGCTTGTTTGTCAAAGATTTCTGCAAAAATTGTCTTTATAAGGCTTTATAATTTTTTATTGGATATAAACTTCCTAAATCCATTTCAATCGGGATTTGGACCTGGTGATTCTAATGTTAACCAATTAATTTTAATAACTCATAAAATTTACGAAGCTTTAGAACAAGGCAAAGAAGTTAGGATGGTTTTTCTGGATATTAGTAAGGCTTTTGATAAGGTTTGACATAAAGGTCTCTTATAATTATACAAGCTCGAACGTCTTGGCGTTCGAATCCCTTATTAAAATGGTTTAAAACATATTTAACTGGGAGAAAACAACGCGTAATTATTGACGGCCAGTCATCTGACTGGAGAGAAATTAAAGCAGGTGTACCCCAAGGCTCTGTGTCAGGTCCTTTGCTTTTTCTAATCTATATCAATGATATTACTACCGACCTTCAGAGCAGTTCTTTTCTTTATGCTGACGATACATCCTTACTTGAAGTAGTCGATGATCCTGACGCTACTATAGCAAAGCTAAATGATGATCTTGAGCTTATAAATACATGGACTCATAAATGGCTTGTAACCATAATTTCTGATAAAACTAAGCTTATGGTGTTTTCTACCAAACGTCAAAAGCCTTTGCATCCACAGTTAAAATACGATAATCAAATTATTGAGTCTGTTAGTAATCATAAACAGTTAGGTGTCACCCTTTCTTCTAATCTTTCTTGGAGAACGCATGTGTTTAATATTTATGAAAAAGCATAAAAAAAGACTAAACCTGTTGAAGGGTTTGAAATTTAGAATAAATAGAGCAGCTTTAGATAATCTAAAGGCACTTATAAGGTCTATTCTAGAATATGCTGATGTTCTTTGGGACAATTGCTCCCTGAGTGAGTGCGACCTTATTGAATCAATTCAATATGATTCCGCAAGAGTGGTCACGGGCGCTATGAAGGGCACCAGCAGTTCAAGACTGTTAGAAGAGTTGTCATGGGAAGATATGAAAACAAGGCGTTCCATGCATAAACTTGTTTTATATTACAAAATTGTTAATAACCTTACTCCAAATTATTTATCCGATTTGCTGCCCCAGACAGTGCAACAAAGGCCAGGGTTATTATTGAGAAATTCAGAGAATATTACTTTGTATAGGTCAAGGACGGAGAGATTTAAAAAATCCTTCTTTCCTTCAGCTACGTCAATGTGGAACAATCTCCAGGTTAGAGAACGTAATATATGCACTGCTCAAGCATTTAAACGTTCGTTGCTTCAGTACTTTGACATTGAGAACTACAATAAATTATATGATTTTGCCATTAATAGGTTTTCGTGGATATTATATACTCGCTTGCGTTTAGGCTGTTGTTTAAAGTTAAATGTAAAATGTCTTCAATATGTGCTTGTACTGAGGATTATGACTCTGTTGCTCACTATTTGTTAGAATGTCCCCGATATGCTGCTCCTAGACAAAACTTACTCTCGAGTGCTGCACAAATTTTTGGTAATAACTGGTATCTCTTGTCGGAGTTAGAAAAGGTCAACATTTTTCTTCACGGCTCTACGAATTTGCATATGTTAGATAATCTGAATCTTTTTATGTTTGTTCAACAACATATAAAGGAAATCAAACGTTTCCTTCAATAGTCAAATACGTGTTAATCTGACTGATAAGGGAACCAGTTGTTCAACTTTCCGTGTTATAAATTTTTCTTTGTTTTTTATCAGTGTGGAAATGTGTAGCGTGAGCCCCGTAGATGAGCTTCATGTTCTTGGGCAAACGCTAGTGAAAAATAAATATGTTTATACAAATAAAAAATAGAACTATGATTTGCCCGGTGCCGCGCTTCATCTTACTGGCGAATCTCAAATTGTATCCCATAGCTCTCTGTCTGATTTAGTATTTCTCTTGTATCGGCAACATAAATTTGCAAAATAGTATAACGACCAGTCTGGCCATATTTTGAAATTTGAACTCACCGCGGTGACAATCCATCCAATCAGAAGGCTTGTGCGTGGGCAAACAACTCATCAAACATATGTTCTATTGTAATATAAAAATTAATGCCCAGCATAACGTACGCAAAAGAGCCATATAGACAAAAATATAGACGTAAAATTTATTTGAGAAATACTGCGGATTTCGATTTACCGTTTCAGGGGTTCCGTTTCCGGTGATTGTTTTCCCGTTAAAACGAACAAGTTGCTAAGGGCCAATGTCAATGTTACTAAGTGAAGTCTAGTGGTCTTTGTCCGTTGTTTTCTTATCCGTTGTTTATCACTTGTGAATGTAACTGTTATATTCGTATTTATCTCGTCATTGGCAACATTTTGATATATAATTTACGTAGCTTTGTGGATCATTTCATGTTTTTATTGATATTTTGGAAATTGTAGCGTATAAAAGGCCAGTAAATAATTTTGAAGCCTTTTATACGCTACAATTTCCAAAATATCAATAAAAACATGAAATGATCCACAAAGCTTTGTCAATTATATATCAAAATGTTACCAAAGACGAGATAAACACGAATATAACAGTTACATTTACAAATGATAAACAACGGACAAGAAAGCGGACAAAGACCACTAGACTTCACTTAGTAACATTGACACTGACCGTTAGAAACGTGTATGTTTCAACGGGAAAACAATTACCGGAAATTAAAGCGCTGAAACGGTAAATCGAGATCCTCAGTACTAACGTTTCGTTTTTAACTTAAGACATCTTCAGAGTAAATGAATATAGTATGACAATGAGTTACAAATATGAATAAATTACTATTTACAATATCAAATTACGAGGTAATAGGAATGCGGAGGATTGGGGGGGGGAGTTAAACGAAAGAAGTCAGAGGAGTGAGAGAGGAATGGAGCTACCTTGCTGATTCAAAGAAGGTTTGGGCTTTGAGATGAGAAGACTTTCACGGACGAGAAGTTCATCTGGAGAGGAACAGGATGATAGAATCTTAAAATCATCAAGAGAAGCAGTATGACCTGAGTGGCTCAGATGGGAAAAGATGCTCGTAAGTTGAGGACTGCTGCTTGTTTTACCAGTTAAGGCAGAAATACCCAGGTGTTCAGAGACTCGTGTATGTAGATGGCGGACCGTTTGGCCAAATACGACGCGGAACAGCATCGACACTTAAAAGAATAAACTACACAAGACCTCAAAGCAGCGGGGATTTTGTCCTTAATTAAACAAGAAGAAATTGGACAAACGTAGAGTGGGACGAAACACGATTCTGATGTCTATGTGTGGGAAGGCTACAGAGCAAAGGCGTTGAATTTGGTTATCCTACTCGTCTCTTTAATCGTTGTGTTCGACTCTTTCTTGATAAAACTTTTCAACCTAAGGAATTAATCCATTCTGTATCAAAGAAAGTGGTATACTTTTGTCTCCCATATACTGGAACACACTCTCTCCAAATCCGTACCCAAATTCAACGCCTTTGCTCTGTAGCCTTCCCAAACATAAGCATCAGAATCGTGTTTTAGTCCCACTCTACGTTTGTCCAATTTCTTCTTGTTTAAGGACAAAATCCCCGCTGCTTTGAGGTCTTGTGTAGTTTATTCTTTTAAGTGTCGATGCTATTCCGCGTCGTATGTGGGCCAAACGGTCCGCCATCTACATACACGAGTCTCTGAACACCTGGGTATTTCTGCCTTAACTGGTAAGACGAGCAGCAGTCCTCAACTTACGAGCATCTTTTCCCATCTGAGCCACTCAGGTCATACTGCTTCTCTTGATGATTTTAAGATTCTATCATCCTGTTCCTCTCCAGATGAACTTCTCATCCGTGGAAATCTTCTCATCTCAAAGCTCAAAGCTTCTTTGAATCAGCAAGGTAGCTCCATTCCTCTCTCACTCCTCTGACTTCTTTCCTTTAACTCCCCCCCCCCCATCCTCGGCATTCCTATTACCTCGCAATTTGATATTGTAAATAGTAATTTATTCATACTTGTAACTCATTGTCATACTATATTCATTTACTCTGAAGATGTCTTAAGTTAAAGACGAAACGTTAGTACTTCTCAAATAAATTTTATGTCTATATTTTTTGTCTATATATATGGCTCTTTTGCGTACGTTATGCTGGGCATTAATTTTTATATTACGATTACGATTTCCGCCTGGTTCATCACTTGCAAGTATGTTCTATTGTCAATTGTTACGTCCTGATTGGTTGAGCTTGATTCATAATCTTAATTTGAAATTGAATTCTGAGTTTCCGTGCGCGTGTGTTCATATTCCAAAGTCTAGTCCGGCAGAATAACAGAACTGGTAATGGACGGTCATAACGAAGAACTATAGTTACTAAATGAATTATGAATACAGTGCCGGTCATAGTGAGTCTGAATTCGCTTTTACAAATATTTATGCATAAAAAATTTGAAAAGGGATACAAATTTGGACTTGGTAGTCACTAGACTTTATAATGTCAATGCAGGTAACTCATTTTACTATTTATCAATATTCTAAGGGCACTTAGAAACAAATGCAGGTAACTCATTTTACTATTTATCAATATTCTAAGGGCACTTAAAATTTGTTTACTTTGTACCGCAAGAGATATGGTACATTGCTATTCATTTGATAGTGTGCGAGAAATTTTGCGATGTTTATGCTGAAATCTGAAATTCAAAACATGAAATTCAAAACATGTAAATCACAGCAATTCACAGACGGAGTGCCAGACTTCTACAGTGTGTATAAAAAAAACCTGAACCCTTTCAAATTCAAATTAGCTATAACGTATTGTAGTAATTTGACAGCTCTAATTGCTTTAAATTAATGGTTGGATAAGAACACAAGGTTTTGTACTCATGGGACAAAACTCAAAGAAATAAAAATTAGAAAATTTAAAGAAATACTACACAGTATGTCCCCAAAAAAGTACCCTTATAGCAATAGGATAATTTCTATAGAGGGTACTTTTTGGGGACACCCTGTACAGTATTCCTTCATTTCCTTGCGTTCTTATCCAATCATTAATTCAAAGCAATTAGAGCTGTCAAATTACTACAATGCGTTATAGCTAATTTGCATTTGAAAGGGTCCAGTTTTTTTTATACACCTTGTATTTTGCTGAAATTATCAGCCAAAATAGGATTAATTCTGAAAGGAGATGTTTATTACAATTTACAAAGAATATTTCAAACTGTGGATGTTATATGATGTTTGTGATGTTACCCTTAGTGTATATCCACACTGGGCAAACTCGACCTTTGGTATGCTAGCACAATGCTCTGCCTTTAGGTAAGAAAGTTTTAACATAGAATTCCAAGTAAACAATTTAGTTGACACGTTATTTCTAATATTCGTATTAATCGTATAATTATTAATTGGTAAGTATTGGGAAGGTGTGGAATAATGACAATGTGCTGAATTGTATTATATAGCCTACGAATTTGTTAAACAAATTTTGACTATTGACAAGTTGACAACCAATTTGGTTGTCAATTAATAGTCAAAATTAATAGTTTTATAACAAATGTGAACCAAGTACTCCTGTAGATCACTCTTTTGACTTTTGTGTTCAATAATTCTCTCAGAGAGATTCACCATTTAAATATTGTGAACATAGCTTTAGTCTTGAAGGTTCTATAATAAAATATTCTGCACTGCATGGTGGACTATGGACACACACTTCTGATTTGTTTAAATTTTTGTGTTGAACAATTAAGTAGCTTAGTAGTTTATGTTGCAGCTTGTATTGTATATAAAGAAAATGTACGTGATATGGAACCGTAAATGCTCAAATTATTCCTTTGCGAACAAAATGGTTGTCAAAATTTCGTAGTACGTACCCCTTCAAATTACTTCAGCATTTTGTTATAATTATTGTTATAATTACAAATTGTGCGTCTGAAATTCTGAGTCCCTTTTTGTACTCATTCCGCCATTTTGTTATAATTATTCCATTGCGAAGAAATTGGGTGTCTGAAATTCGGAGTCCCTTTTTGTACTCATTCCGCCATTTTGTTATAATTATTCCATTGCGAAGAAATTGGGTGTCTGAAATTCGGAGTCCTTTTTTGTGCTCATTCTGCCATTTTGTTGTAATTATTCCATTGTAACAAAATTGGGTGTCTGAAATTCGGAGATATATTCCACTGCAAACAAAATGGGTGAAATTTGTATCCTATTTACTTGCTGTTACTTTTACTATATATTCACTATACATTATTTGTCTTTAAAGTATGGAGTGACCTTTTTGTTTCATTAAAATTATTTAATAATTAGGGAGCAAAAGAAAGGCAATTTTCCCTAACACTCCCTACTTTAAATACTTTGATATTTAACTCTGATGTATATGTCTCGCCACAGTTATACAAGATATGTTGGATAGTTATATCCAATCTATATTAGGTTATATCCAATGCAGTAGGATAGATAAATATCCAGCCAATTTAATTGATGGTATTATTCAAATATATACGGTTCAGGTCTCACTTTAGGTTAAGTAAAACCCAACTTCCTGAAACTAACCTTAACCTGATTGTTTGCCATGGTTCCGTTTTGTGCGCCTAAACCCAACTGAGCAGCTTATTTTCTGCAATCACAATCTTCCTGTTTTCGCGTCAGCGACATATATACAAGTGTAAACAAGGTCTTCAACGTTCTCGCAAGTTAAATAACGATATAGAAGTTTGAGTGTTTATCATTTGACCTGCATAAGACTTAAGTCATTCACCACTTGTGAAACAATACAATCAAATATTCTATTTAATAAGACGTCATAAAACTGTGCCTATGCACTATAGTTCTCTTATATTAGCTAATAAGTTTTTGAGTGGACACATCTCGTCGCGAGTGGACACAGGTCGTAAAATTTCACGAATTTAACAAGTCGTACGTATTTCGTGAAGATTTGCCATTTGACCATGGTGCATAGGATTTAAGTCACGCACCACTCGTGTGTGGCGAGTGGCCACGGGTCGTACAATTTCACGAATTTAACGAGTCGTACAAATTTTGTGAGGTTTTACCATTTGACTAGGTGCATATGACTTAAGTCACCCACCACTCGTGAAACGTTTGTCACGTGTGGAAACGGAACGTAAAATTTCACGAATTTAAGAAGTCGTACGAATTTCCCGCGGTTTTGCCATTTCATCAGGTGCATAAGATTTAAGTCATTCACCACTTGTGAAACAATACAATCAAATATTCTATTTAATAAGACGTCATAAAACTGTGCCTATGCACTATAGTTCTCTTATATTAGCTAATAAGTTTTTGAGTGGACACATCTCGTCGCGAGTGGACACAGGTCGTAAAATTTCACGAATTTAACAAGTCGTACGTATTTCGTGAAGATTTGCCATTTGACCATGGTGCATAGGATTTAAGTCACGCACCACTCGTGTGTGGCGAGTGGCCACGGGTCGTACAATTTCACGAATTTAACGAGTCGTACAAATTTTGTGAGGTTTTACCATTTGACTAGGTGCATATGACTTAAGTCACCCACCACTCGTGAAACGTTTGTCACGTGTGGAAACGGAACGTAAAATTTCACGAATTTAAGAAGTCGTACGAATTTCCCGCGGTTTTGCCATTTCATCAGGTGCATAAGATTTAAGTCATCCACAACTGGTACATTCGTTATGCGTTCACACGGGTCGTAACATAATATACAAATAAAAAACACAACTCGTCAATCACGAGTTACGAATTTCACAAGTCGTTAAGTGCGACAGTATTGGACAACCATCGCTTACCTCACCTCACCTTACCATAACTTTAACTTTAATTTTAACTTTAACCTTAACCCCATATCGCTTACCTCACCTCACCTTACCATAACTTTAACTTTAATTTTAACTTTAACCATCTAACCCCATCAACCTTAACCTTAACCTTAACCTTAACTTTAACTTTAACTTTAACTTTAACCCTAACACTAACTTTAACTGTTAATTTTAACTTCACTTCACTTATAACTTAAAAGTTTTAAACTGCCTGAGTACAGTCAGAGTCATTTCTTATTTGTGCAGTTTACTACCGCAGAGAATATAACTTTGCTTATCCTGGATAGCTCTATCAGTTCTAAATTGTTCTTCCTAGAAGCACATGCAATCTTGGATAATAAAATAAATGGATAGGAAACTGGCTGACGTGACCTAATATTTTCAATGGGCTGATGGCGTGTTTGGATGTTGAAACTTAGTTGCACACCAAATTCTCAAAAACGGCATGTTTAGCAATAATACAGCTAAATATTTTAGTCATAGAGCAAATGAAAATAACTACGCCATTCTACGATGAAATCTCTAAGTATTCTCAGTCAATTTTAGCAAATATTCTGAGCACTAAACAGTGAAAAATGCATCCCAAATTTCGTTAAAATAAGGGGACGCCAATTTCGTAGCTACAAATGTAAAAAATACAAAACAAAGACGAAAAACATTTACCTTGAATACTTTGTCGTGGAAACGTCCTCAGAGATATGAAAAACTAGTTTCATATTAGTCTGACTCGATAGCTCAATAGGTAAAGCGGCGGTCTGGATACTCAAAGATGCGAGTTCAAATTCCGCTCGAGCCAACGAATTTTTCGTTGCTCGATTGCAGTGTCAGATTAATATGAAACTAGTTTTTCATATCTCTGAGGATGTTTCTGAAATAGAATCGAAACACTGCGCGTCCTCTAAGACAAGCGTTGAGTCGTCATGAAAATATTTCGTGCACTTAAATTGGATAAGACTCGCTACCAATCCCTGTTGACTCGATAGCTCAATAGGTAGAGCGGCGGTCTAGATACCCAAAGATGCGAGTTCAAATCACGCTCGAGCCAACGAATTTTTCGTTGCTCGATTGCAGTGTCAGATTAATATGAAACTTTGTCGTAGCTTAGGCATGTTTTTAAAACAATTAGACTAGTTTATGCTTCAATATTAGTCCTTTAAAGAGGAAAATTGAGCGAAACGACAAAATTGCCAAGAATACGCGTGACGTCACAGATTGCAACCAGGTTGTTTTTGCTTACGTCAGTTAGAGTCCTTTCCATTTATGTTATTATCCATGATGCAATCAAGGCTATTCTTTATTGCTGCAGTGTTACTGCATGAGGAAACTTTTACTAATTTGACTTTACGTATCTTGGATAGCTCTATAAGTTCGTGAGGGTCAATACAGTGTTTTTGCAAGTGGAGCCAAAATTCTCAGAGAAAACCTGAGGAACAATTTGCACATTCGATCAATGAAGAATATTTATAATCAAACATCTGTACACTACAAGAGTCGGAGCTGTGGCATTAATCACTATGCAACCAGGACCCCAATTTTATTAAATTCACTATATTTTTTGAAAAGCGCATATCTTCAACAATGATGCACTAGTATTATAAATAGTATTTTATTAAAGAAATGCTAAAACTGTTGTAAATGTGTGTTTCAGGTAGATTGCTATCGTATGTCAGTGACGAATGCCCGAGTGTGAAGAAGCTGTTAGAGCACGTCCGTGAATCATGCGGCAAGATTTGCCGTCTTTTACCATTATTTTCCTGCCTCAAACTTGAAGGGCCAGAGATGTCTAAAAAGAGCTTTGATTGTTACTTAGTGTCATTAGCAACGTCCATTAGTTCAGCTGGTACTATTGTGATTTGTGGTTTGTTCAACGCTTTAATTCATATCCATGAACTAGAGACAGGTATGTAACTGAATGGTGAAGAAAAAAAAAGCCAAAGTTTGGGAATTTTAATCATCTTTCCTTGCAGCTGAGTCCTGAATAGCGAAGGACACAGCTCAAACGTGACCGACTCACTAGGACGCCTGGAACCTGACTGTAACCATTTACAGCTGTGGTGAAAGGGTCAATTGTTATGGGAAAGGAAAACTGAAAAATCCGGACAAAAAACCCTATATACTGTAGAATGACAAGAGAGAACCAACTACAATTTACATATATGAAATTTCCCCTAAGTACATCAACTCGAAGCAGGGCAGTCTCATATTTTACTCTTGACCTTCGGAGAAGGCTTAATTCAGCGGTGAGGCGCAGCGCGATAACCTATTCTGCTTGCCATGCTTGGTAGTTTGATATGAGCAGGCTTGGTCATAATGAAACAAAGGCGCTGACACGCTCCCTAGGCGCTTCTTTTTGCACACGTACTAAAATAAGTGTCAGCGACACATGTAAGCATATTTTTGTACTTCTTGTCCTTGAGAAAAACCTGCATGTAATATATTAATAACAGTACATTCATTGTTCAGGCTAAAACCAATCAATCCATAAACTAACTTAGCTTGTCCATAATTTTTTTTTATCTTGGCGGCCTTGCCGCTTGCCGGTTACCTTTGAGTTAATAAATAATACGTATAAAGATTTTTTTTTTGCAAAATTTTGGCGCGATATTTCAAATCTTAATTCCATCAGTTTATATATAAAGATAGAGAATTTTTACAACCGCCATTTTTGATGGAACCCATAGAGTATTAGAATTACACTCTTGAAATACTTATAATTTATCTATTACACTCTTGAAATACTTATAATTTATCTATCTATATAAACAGGCAAAGAATTGCATAAACTTAAAGGACATACAGGTCCAGTGTGGTGTTTGGCTTTGTCACACAGTCGAAAACATCTTGCGTCAGGGTCACGTGACAATACTGCAAGATTATGGAGTATGGATACTTTTGACCAGTTAAACGTTTTACAAGTAGAAGATTGTGAGGTGTATGCATTGTGTTTCAGTACAGATGACCAGCGATTATTTACTGGATCAGGTGATGGTAAGCATCTACAGCGCCGGTCAATCAAGGATGAGAGTTGATAAGAGTTGGCAATCGAGAGTACGCAAGTGAGTTTTTCAACTTGAGACAACGAGAGCTTTAAAACTTGAGTGAGAGTGCCAACTCTTATCAAATCTCATCCACGTACGTTCGATCAGGCTTAAGTGTTTTGTAGCTGGGTTTGCAACGTTTCAAACAAGCTTTTAAGACCATCACAATTAATTTCTGAAAATGTCAGATACGTCGTTTTCTGCGCATTTTATTCAGCACGACCTACACAGAAAACAATCTTTCGTATAGTTTGTAGACAAGCACGATTATAATCTGCGACTTTAGATTTATTTTTCACTTTGTACCTAAAGTTTTTCTAAAACTCACTGAGTTATACAAATAGTTGTAAGTTATACCATCTGTGACCGTGGGGAACAGATCTTACATAACCCCTACCTTTTAAGTGCCACTTACCCTAAAGTAGTAATATACCCTTGTAGAATCCGACAGATTTATAACCTATTTTTTACCTATTTTTTCTCTTTTTAGCCCTATTTTTTCCGTATTTTTTCAAAAATATGACTATTTTATTAGTATTTATTAAATTTCATAAAATACACTGTTAATTTGAAGGTGTTAAAATAGCACCTTCGTAGGTGTTAAAATGACACCTTGTGGTGGTGTTAAATAACAAGTGTTAATCTAACACCGATTTGGGTGCTGATTTAACACCATGAAGTTGGGAATTGATTTTGAAGTGCTAAATTAGCACCTTAGATATTTAACACTTTTCTAGGGTGTTAAAATAACACCCATTCTATTGAGTGAAGGTGTTAAAGTAGCACCGTTTTGAGAGTTAAACTTAGGGTGTCAAAATAGCACCTCATGAACCGGTTTTCAGATTCAAAGTGGCGGACCAGGTAGGAGCGGTTTACGTTTTTCAGACAAGTAAATGGGGCAAATGATCACATTTTTAAAACATATTATCGCCTTTAATGTAATCCTTGTAGGGCTCCATTGAAAAAATCCTTGGAGATATGGGCTCCCTAATATTATGATAAAAAAATAATCGAAGCAATCTGCCGTTTTGGTGTTAGTGTCTTAGTGATGTCAGGAAAGTGTGCAGTGATAAACAGTAAAAATATGCAGCAAAAAGAAATTGTGTGGTGATAACAAAATATGTTCATGCAAGGGAGATATGACAAGACAGCTAGAATTTTGAAGTTAATTTAAGAGTTTCTGTCAAAAAAAGCCCAGAATACAGGTTTATTTGCACTGGATTGCTCACATGATTGAGATCAGTGTCTTCAGAAGTGCATCCCAGAAGGCTTAGCTCGCACATTTCGAGCGCGTCGTCATTTGGAAATTTTATTTCAACGTCGGTTGATATAGCCAAGATGTCTTAAAATATTGTAGAAAATAAGAAGAAATATTCCATTGTCTAAAGATTCAGACAATAATTTTAAATGTAAGTGTTCAACTATGTCAATATTTTTAAGTTTCGTATGTAAATATGTGCCATAAATAGTTATATATTCAAGTATATTTTAACCGCCCTTGCCGTTGGCCGCATTGTATTTTGTATTTGGTTCAACAATATATTGTTATTAAAATACATTAAAACTTGGTGATATTGCTTTGTATTGACAGGTTATAATTTCAAGCAATAAATACTGTCATAGTATGTGTTCCAAGCAAGTCGAACTGTCGAAATCATGATATATACAGGCTACAAGAAGGTATGAAATATACAATTATACAGTAGATAACGCAAAGGCCCACAAAGGAAGGATATTGCTCCCTCATACAAAGCCATCATGGAACTTGCTTTGGCGATTATATAAATATTAGCTAAATGAGTTAATATTGATACCCTTTCAATAGTGATCAATACATCAATACATTAAAATTAACAATATAAACATTTATTACCTCCGCCAGGAGGTTATGTAATCATCTGGGTTTGTATGTGTGTGTATGTGTATCTCCGCCAGGAGGTTATGTAATCATCTGGGTTTGTATGTGTGTGTATGTGTATTTATGTAATCATCTGGGTTTGTATGTGTGTGTATGTGTATGTGTATGTGTATGTGTATGTGTATGTGTATGTGTATGTGTATGTGTATGTGTGTGTGTGTGTGTGTGTGTGTGTGTGTGTGTGTGTGTGTGTGTGTATGTGTGTGTGTTTGTCTGTGAGCACGAGTTTGTCTGTGAGCACGATAACTCAAGAAATACCAAACATATTCATACGAAGTTTTTTGAATGCATTTCCCATCGGCTAAGGAAGAACTGATTAACATTTGGTTGAATTTGGTTAAAAATTGAATGAGAAATAACAAAAGTTTGTCTTGCTTTTCCCGGTCAATTAAATAAAACTTTATACTGAATGCGTAATTAGGACGTGCATAATATATGCACCAGCCATTCAAATTCTAATAATAACAATAGATTACTTCAATAGTTTGCGCGTAGGCGGAGGTATGCAGTCTCTGAGTGCCCTCTAGTATATTTGTTAATGTATTGATCTATTGAGCGGATATCAATGCTGGCTCAATAGCTATTAATATTGATATAATCTCCAAAGCAAGTTCTATGGCTTTGTATTAGGCCCTGTTTACATGAGACCACAACAAAGTCAAACCGGGACCATTTCGTTTCACTCATAGTATTATCTATAATAGATGTCTACATGAGACCGGGATGAAAATAACTCAGACCGGTCTCAAATCATTCTGCCTGCTGGACCGAGCCGCGACTGACTTCAGACCGGCATGAATTCAGACCGGGATGAATGTAAACACAAATACATTTCAGACTGGTCTTGGCTGTAACCTTGACATTGGAACAACACATGCTAACAAAAGCCATCTGAACAAGAAAATTGCCTGGCAAGGGGAATAAATTGAAAATGTTGTGATTTTTCTAATGCTCTCATGTAAACATATAACACTTTTTGTTTGTGGAAACACCACGTACATTTATTACTGCAAAGCACAAAGAACTCATGTAAACATGTTGACAATTTCAATTTTTCTTCCAGTTTAACTTCGTCCAGGTTTCATGTAAACGGGACCTAAGAGCAGAACAATCCTTCCTTTGTCTTATCTATATTGTGCTATCATAGTAAATAGCTACATTTCTATAAATATAATATTCAGACAACCCAGGTTGAATGTTCCTAAATTCCCTGAATACATTGAGGATACATGTTTGAGTCCTCATACTGTTAATTATATGCCTGTGAGAATTTCCAGGCTCACAATTTTATGCATAAAGAAACTGTTTAAGGGGCCACGACCATATTCATGTTGCCACAACAACATTGAATCGACGTTATGAGTGGGTGGGTTTTTATGTGAACTTATCAACGTTATCTCGTGGCAATTTGAAAATTAATGCCAATAAATTACAGTAAACCTCCGACTATAAGCCCGGACCTCGAATATAAGCCCCCCCCCACATATACAAACGGTCACCTCATTCCAAATATAAGCCCGCCCCCCCCCCGAATATAAGCCCACCCGAATATAAGCCCTCCAAATATAAGTCCCCTGAATATAAGCCCAGTTGCCCACTACGTTACTCAACATTGGTCACATTGTTTTTAATATACTATAGCAGAGAACTGTTTTTGAACAGATGACAATATTTAAAAACATTATTGTCATTGTCTTTATAGACCACTATGTGAATCAAAACGCGTTATAAATACATGTTTATTTTCCTGTTTATGACTGACTTGTTTATGTCTGACTTGTTTGTTACGAACACAAAAAATCGTCCATGTATAAGCCCCCCCCCCGTATATAAGCCCACCCTTGTATAAGCCCATCAGAAATCGCTTACGAAAGTATATAAGCCCAGGGCTTATAGTCGGAGGTTTACGGTATCAATAATTGACGTTAAATTATTAATTTACAATAAATTATCTACAAATTAACTTGGACTGTAAAATAATACCAATTTTCATTTTGTAGCCAATCACTCACCACAGAAAATTACAAATTGAGTTGCATTATGCCCTGATATGCTCTACTTTATACACCCTTTTCATAGATGGCTACCGATAAAAATTATTTATTGTGCATATAAATTGGCCCAACTAGCCTCGTTTCTGGGTAGAAATTCCTTTGAAATCTTAACATGAGTACGAGGCTAGTTGGGCCAATTTATATGCACATGAAAGAATTTTTAATCGGCAGCCATTTATGAAAAGGGTGTATTATTTTACTTTATTTAATGCCAGACTATTTAACTCTGTCTGATGCCAGACAATTTTACTCATAATGGGTTAATTTAATTTTACTCTTAATGGGTTACCTGTCATATCTGCCCATGTGTCTATAGTTACCCCCATCATGTCACATTGCACCCTACTTTATTATTTTACTTTGTCTAACGCCAGACAATTTTACTTGTCAACTGGCTCCCGCTTAATGGGTTAGAGTACCATTCAGCAAAAATTCTATTGGTTACAAATGACCTATACCGGTAACATAAACTTTCATTTGGATTGTGACTGATATAAACTATACTGAAATGATTCAACTGAATCAAAGTATGTAATTGTGAGAAGTATTTACAAAAGTAGGTTGTTTAATTACAGCATAAAAAAAAAGAAAACCATTCAAAGAACTTCTTATTTTTCAGGTAGTCGAACGACCTACTATTTGCAACTGCGGTTAGTGTATAGTTTAGTTTGCTCACGAATATTTACAAAAAAACTTATTCTCTAGAAGAAGGCAGAGCTAGGGTGAATCCTCAACAAGGAAAACATTGAGAAAGAGATCGGAGAGTTGTGGCAACTAAAGAAGCCAGATATTTTGGCAGCATTGAAGAAGATGAATTGTCATGCTGTCAACAATATACTCAAGTTGGATGATTGTGAATTGACATGTGAAATACGTAGATTTCACCGCAACTCATGTGAGAAAGGTGTGGTAAAATCTTGCATTTTTTTATTAGTGATAAGTATGGTACCTGTATGATTGATTATAGTGGTTTTGAAGAAACAATTGTTTAGTATCCGTACGTTTATATTATGGTCATGGATTAAACGATTAACATAGATTAACATACCTATTCTATATAGAAGTTAATGTATATGTGTATACAGTATATACTGCACAGAAATTTATTCTATGTTAAAACCTTTTTGTAGAGTTATCAGGATGCTCAACCCCTTGTCTATTGGCCACTGAACCTCTGGATGAGATAAGTTTGATTTCATTGATTGCAGAGGGAATGGTTGTAAAACATTCAGATTGTACAATATAGCCAACAACCCGCAGTTTATGATAATGGCAATGATGATATTGTCTCATTAAAGGGTATTGGCAACAAAAAATGTTATTGTTTCATCTGAAAGAGCATGAAAAAATAAGCCGATTGGCCGTTTAATGCTCTATTCTATCTCATCTACTTCCGAAGTTATACGCAAAAATGTCCAAAATATAAGTTGCTGATTCAGCGCAACGTGTGACGTCATTGGTTGGGTAAGTATGTTTAATGAATACTAAACTGAAGCATAGCTCAGTTATTATAGACCCAAATCAAATGAAATTTTGCATACTGATTGTACATGATGAGACGCATTGAAAAACACTTCTAATTTTGTTGCCAAGGTAACAATGTCGTTCCCAGGCCCCTTTCGCCAATTTTATAAAACAGCTTTATTCATGGTACTTATAAGAATAAAATAATATCATAAGTATGTGTACCATACCTATGCATGCCAAAAGTTTACTTGGATGATAATAATTCGAAAATGACATACACATAGATAAATGCAACTAGTTATTCAAAATCAGTGTAAGGGGCCTGGGAACAACTGTGTTGCCTTGACAACAAAATTAGAAGTATTTTCCCATGCATCTCATCATGTACTATTTCATGTACTAATTCCGCACGGCTAATTATACCCGTGTATGTGAAAATATAGCGGAGTGCAAAGTTGTCCTCCATTTGTTTATGTCAAGGACGGTTTTCGACGTTATGCGCATGCGCGAGTACAAACTCTGTCGAAGTAATTGTTTTTCATTTTGAAAGGACGTATATTTTGCTGTTTTACAGCAATTTTTGTTTTAAATTTCGTTAAAAAGTTTACAAAAGTACAACACGGTTTTTTTGTCGATTTTAACTGGAAATAAGCCTGCAGTTTCATGAATTAGTGGCTGTTCAACCGTGAAACAAAGTTTGTATAATAATTGTTTTGATGTTTTGATGTTAATGTCTTTGATAATTTAATCGTTGTTGTGCCGGTTTTGGTTAGAGTAAACATTTCAGTAGTAAAATTCCATGCCGTACTTGCTTTGTGTTGGTTTTATTCATATCTGCGAAATTTTAAGCCATTCTTAACTCGATAATTCACTTTAATGCAAGCTGGTATGCATGAAATTGCAGTGAATGTTATCATTCATTATAAAGCTAGCGCATCAGTTGTGTTTTTATGTTTGTTTATAATGGTCTTAATACTTTATGTGGACTTTTTATACTTCATCTGTTATTAAGAAAGGCGAGGGGTTGCTGCAAGCATGTATTTTCTAGTTATCTGAATATACCTAGGCCTGTTGCTCAAACATTTCAGACCGTCGTATAAATCAACAGGCAGTATGCCCGGCCCAGCTATGTGTGATCATAAAATCCGTATTACTAATGCATCTCTAGATTTTGGCGTGTCATTTCAACGGGTCCTACTAAAGAATGCCCGGGAATGCCCGGATTTTGGCGTGTCATTTCAACGGGTCCTACTAAAGAATGCCCGGGAATGCCCGGGAACGCCCGGGAATGCCCGGGAACGCCCGGGGAGATTCGTTGAATGCCCGGGAATGCCCGGGAGTTGGGAAATTTAATCTTTCATAAAATAAGTGAGTTGGGAAATTTAATCTTTCATAAAATAAGTGATTTTATTAGTATAAACTAACGTAATTATGAACGTAATTTTCCCCGGGCATTCTTTCCCAACTCCCGGGCATTCCCGGGCATTCAACGAATCTCCCCGGGCGTTCCCGGGCATTCTTTAGTAGGACCGATTTCAACCACTTTTCAATCACTAATTAATATTTATTTTTCAAAATTGTTGGCAAGCGGGGATTTCCTTCCCCACACACCGTCTAGCGTCCCATGCTATAGATTATAGCTATGTTAGGCAAGCATAGTACACAACACACGCAACATATTCATTTTTAATTTCGCAGCATAGCCGGAACAGCTAACTCTATAACCTCGTTGTTTTGTATTGATTTGGGTAGATTTTTTCACCTTTATACGTACCTGGTATAATACTATGAACAACTTCATAATACTATTCATTTACATGCTTTCTCAGAAATATATCTGCCTATTCTAATATCATAAAAAATGTTGGGGACGATGGATGGAAATTATCTTTCGTGGTTTATAGTT